ATATATCTGTATTGATGTGTGCCACCCTTCAGACAATAAAACAGTCATCAATCAATCAGCTGATGTTTATTCATCAGTTTTGACATTGTTGTGAATAATTTTAGAGCATTATAGCCTAAATTGTTATCATTAATTATTAGAGCGAAGGTGGTCTACATTGTCATCATATAAAGTGTTATTTTATAGTGTAAAGTTAGGATCACAGTGTTAAAACTCTATAGCTCCAAGTGTGTGTGCTCCTTTTTGTATCTAACTGCCCAGGCTCAGCAGTAGCACGCATCAAAAACACCAGCAAAGGAAAATATAGAAGCAGCATCAATATAGTTCATCACAGTAAGCCTATGTGAGCTTAGAGTGAACTTGCTTATAGCCTATGTGAACGTCTCGGGTTGCGTATGTAACCCTTGTTCCCCGAGAAGGGGAACGAGATACTGCGTCGGTGACGACACTATGGGAACGCCTCTGGGCGTGGCAGGGCTGAAATCATGAATGAAACTACTCCAATCCTATTGGCGTTGCTAGAATGGTAGCGTGTGATGGCGTAACTGGAGACGTATATAAGCACGCCGGCACACCGGACACATTAGCTCTTTGCTAATGAAGCAAGGCACTCCAGGCGGGGTGAGGTGTGGCGGATCGACGCAGTGTCTTGTTCCCCTTCTCGGGGAACAAGGGTTACATATGTAACCCAAGACGTTCCCCATCGAGGGAACTCGAACTGCGTCGGTGACGACACTATGGGAACGAGAATACCCACTATGCCACGCTGAAGCCTCCGCCTGCCCCCCAGTGTGCAGTAACCCATAGGCACGACTAAGAGGAGAGCGCACAGGTGCTGGGTGCAGAAGGAAGGTCCAGACTGTAAAACCGGATGAAAGTGTGAGGAGTGGCCCAGCCAGCTGCCTCACACAATCCTGGAGCGAAGCCCCTGCGAGGAGGGCCCTAGAGGCCGCCATGCCTCGAGTAGAGTGCGCCCTTACGGCCATAGGTGAAGGTAACCCGCGCACCTGATAGGCCAGGGAAATAGTCTGAACGATCCAGTTGCTGATCATGTGTTTAGAAGCGGGCAGCCCAGCCTTGGGGGACCTGAAACACACCAGCAACTGGTCTGCTTTCCTCCACCGGGAGGACCTCAGAGTGAAAATACTCAGTGCTCTGACCGGGCAAAGCAGATGAAGTCTCACGTCCTCCGCCGTCACATGAGGTGGGGGATGAAACGCCTGCAGCACCGTAGACCCTGCCAACCTGGACGGAACCTTAGGGACATAGCCAGGGGTGCAGGATGGCTCTGACCCTCTCCGGGGCAAACTCCAGGCATTGAGGAGAAACCGAAAGTGCCTGGAGATCCCCCACCCTCCTCAGAGAGGTGATAGCGAGGAGAAAGGCCATCTTAAGGGTCAGGTGATTGGCCTCAGCCGACTCCAGGGGTTCGAAGGGGGCCTCAGCCAACGCTTCGAGAACCACTGCCAGGTCACGTCTGCACCAGGCTGTGGCGACCGCGTGGCAGCACGCTCTTCTTCACGTTGAGCCGCAGCCCCAAACGCTGAAGGTGGGCGAGGACGACATCTCGATGCCGAACCGCTAACTCCCGAGACTGAGCCAAAATGAGTCAGTCGTCGATGTAGTTCAGTATGCGGACGCCTTGGAGCCTCATCGGGGCCAGAGCTGCATCCATGCATTTGGTGAACGTGCGAGGAGAGAGTGCTAGGCCGAACGGAAAAACCCGATACTGGTACACCGCGCCCCCGAAGACGAACCTCATGAACTTCCTGTGAGAGGGACGGATGGAGATGTGGAAATATGCGTCTCGCAGATCTCGCAGATCTATCGAGCTTGCACACTGCCCGTGTCACCACCTCCAAGAGCTCGTCATAGCTTGGCGCTGACTGATGATGTTGCTCCAGCTACCGGAAGTCTTCCTCCTCCATAATGCTGAGCACATCCAGCTCCTCAGAGCCGGACAGCTGCAGCCTCTCCACACCTCAAGCGGGAGAAGCCGAAAAGCGGGCTCCCGAACGGGGAAGAGGGGAGTCGGAGCCAGCAGACAAGGCGGTCCTGATGCTTTCAGAGATGTCGCGCTGGGAGCCCCATCACCAAAGCCACCGCGCCGCCTCAGCGACCGCCGGGCCCGAGCCACGGGGAGAACGTATCCGTACCGTTCTAGCAACGCCAGTAGGATTGGAGTAGTTTCATTCATTCCTTTCAGCCCTGCCACACCCAGAGGCGTTCCCATAGTGTCGTCACCGACGCAGTTCAAGATCCCTCGAAGGGGAACTTTGAGTGAACTTGCTGAAGGAATTTTTGCTGACCGTTTTCGCGACGGATTGGTGATGAACAGAAAGGCAGCAGATACAGTCAGCACTATATTAAGATTACTGTAAGAAACCAAGCATTAATGAAAGATACAGCATTACACATGTTATTCTTGTATTAACTTTTTTTTTTATGTAATTGTGTGTCAACTTATGCATGTACAACTTTTTAAAAATACGGTGAAACTGAAGTTGAAACATAATGGAGAACTTCTTATCCAGTAATGCAAAAATATAGAAAATCACACAGTAATGAATGACAGCTGGAAAACATTGTTAATTGATAAAATAACATGTGTAAGCAGCTTAACAGAAGAGGATATGAAGTTCACTATAAGGAGAGGAGGGGGCAAATTAGCCCAGAAGAGACATATAAGGCTGTCTGCTGACCACAGGGTTGACACCATCCTCTGACCTGCAGGGATGTTGACTCTTGACCGTCTCCAGAGAAGTTTTTGACTACAAACTTATTGACTATAGTAGAAAGTTAATGGAGTATTTTTTGACGAAGTTTAAAAAGCTTGTGAAGGTGGGGACAAGGCTTAAGTGGCTCAGCCTGATCGTACATCTGATCCAACAACATTTATCTGTGGAGCTGCCCAGAGCACACTGACCTATATTTCCTTATCTCCCACATATATTTAGTTATTGACTGAATAGAACTTTTCAAATAGATGTTGCATGTTCCTTTGTTGGTTTAGTTTGCATCTGACACCTATTGAGCTTGTTGCCCTGTTTATTTATGCGTCTGTATATTGAGAGTAATGTAAAACCAGAGTCAGATTCCTTGGATGTCTACACATACCTGGGCAATAAAAGTGATTCTGAATCTGATTCTTTCTGATTATTGTGTTTTTCATTTAATTATTAAACCATTCCACTCCTGCATTAGAGCTGCAGCTACACTGTTAGACTAAAAGACAGAAATCACCTGTTTGACAGTGTCTCAGCTACATACAGTGACATGAACTGTTAGGAAAGTTTGTTGCACGTAAATGCAGTAGACAAGCATCCATGGCACTGATTAAATATAAATACAATGTGATGAACACAATTTGAAGACCAGATGGTTGTTCAGAGACAGAATGTGGGTTTATTTGTGGTAAAGTAGCACATGTGATGTAATTATCAGGTTTGTGTGTGTGAGGTGTGCTAGTGCTGCCTCCTTCTGGAGGGTCTTTGAAAAGATCTTTCATTCAGTTTCATCATCTGCCACCATGAAATAAATATGTAAATTAAATTAGGTGAAAAAATAAAGTCTACATAATCTAGACAACCACAGAATAAAAATCATATTACGATAGTTAATATTGTTAACAAGTAGCATCTCAAGCATCAGTAACAGTGAGTTTTTGAGAAGTGATTTGAAGGATTACACAGATTAATACCCTCTGTCTAATACCCTAATACCTGTTGTATCCGAGTCAAAGGGCCCAGACAGCAAACACTGTGCAAAAAGAGATAGTTTCTGTCATGTTTAATGCTCTGTAGTACTAGTAACAGTACTGATATGCTGTGTTTGCAGCCATGCCTTTACACAGTGAGCTGCCTGCAGCCACCAAGGGGCAGCATAATATCCCATAACATCCAGGGCTTCCCTTCACTACTTTCTTTGTGATATAAATTGGCCTCACTGAATCCATTAAGTCTAGAAGTGAAACAAGTAATCAATAAGGCTACTTACTTATTTAGGGTATTTTAGGTTACTTATTTAACCTTCTCAGTTCTAAGGATTTTATGATTTTTTAAATGTTTTATATCATTTCAAACTGAATATCTTTAACCTTTGGACTGTTGCTGATATTATACAAACCGAATCAAGAAAATGATGGGCAGAATAATTGATAATAAAATGATAAATAAAAATAACCAGTACTCCAGATGTAGCGTCTCGACTAGGGAAATAAAATCAAACACTGCGCTCTGTTGTTATTATGTTAATATATAATATATAGATTATGATACAATTATGTAGAAAGTTCACTTGTACAAGGTTTCAGTTACAATACATTGAGAGGTTGAGCTACAACAAAACTAGCCAACCTTAAGAGAAATACATCTCGCGCCAGTCCTTTGGATCTCGCGCGCGGTTTCGGTGGGCTTTAGCACGCTCCATAGCACGGCCAATCAGAGGCCAGTTTCCCGCAGAAGCGTCCCGTTGCCATGCAGTTGTCCTGAAACCTGTCCTGGTCCTGGTCCTGGTCCTGGTCCTGTCCCTTTTTATATGCACACCCATGGTCCTATCCGGCTGCGAGGGTGAGTTCTGCAACAAGTCATTCATTCATCACTTCATTTAATGTTCAATGTAAACAGAGATTATTTCACTTTGAGAGACATATTTCAAAAAGTAGTTTATTTTCTGGATTGAGCTAACATTGCCAGAATTCATTTATGTATTCAAATGAATTGTGTCTTTGTGCAAGGTTTGGGAATATCAGATGTTCATTAGTAGAATCAAAGTTAGCTCTATGCATATTATAGCCAGGCTACTCGGTAGAAACTAATTTTAGTCCAAACGTTAGAGTCCTGCAGGCAGCTTCAGTTACCCGTTGGAGACAGTCACGCCTGTTTGCTGTGTGTCTCCAATCCCACTTGAGAGCACACCCGAAACATTAGCATACGACCAATGAACAGAGCTATGCAAATGACTTGCAGTGTCTCTGACAGTTTTAATGTGAAGTTGCCAGATGCATCACTCAGTTACAGCGCATAGTGGACTAAAGATCAAGTGTGTGTGTGTGTGTGTGTGTGTATATGTAGTCGAGAAGTTACCAGGATAACTCGCCACTACAATAGGCTACTCTTTGCACTAAAGTGGACTTGGATTTTATGTACAACATGACATTTGAGGAACTAAGTGGGGATTATTCTCAAGAAAGGTAAATAATGTGAATTACGACTAAAGTTGATGCATGTTTAAAATTACCGACGTGCCGGTTTATGTGCAGCAACATTAACTTACATGCATTAAATAGATGGATGCACGATAAAGATAATTTCATAGCTATTTCTGTTTTAACTACTTACATACTAACTGGTGGCAGATGTTAAAATGCAGTAATTGATCAGCTAAGTTAACTGTTCTTCTGTTGGGACTATGTCGCGAGACAAGCTCCACTTTCCGATAAGTTAAGTGAGCTAACACTACGACGCTAACGTTACACACTTGTTAAAGGTGAACAAAAACGATTGAGAAATACTTGATATGGCAGTCTTAAATATGCCGTTTCACTTTCCCGCAGCTGTCAAAACGATTTCAACCGCAAAATTCACAACTGTAATCTGTGTTTTAACGTGATGAGGGACCAACTTGTGCACATCTGCTTGAAGCGACGCCGGGTGGTTAGCTAGCAGTCCAGCTAACAGTAACGTAGCCAGAAAAGAGACGGTGGAAAGTTTTTATGTGGCAACGTTGAAACGGCTTTAACATCAACTTATTTGTTTCTGTGTTGCAGAATGGATTCAGTAGCGAAAGCTTTGGAAGAAGTCCTCACCTCTGCGTTACCGCAGGGCTGCATTACAGTCGGAGTCTACGAGGCTGCCAAATCACTTAATGTGTAAGTACAAGGTTATATAACACAGATGTACTGACCTATTGACAGTTGCTCTCACACGTCTTACACCTGTACAAGGCTGCTTAACCCATGTCTAGCAAGACCATGCTTTGTTGAAATATAAATAGACTAAGAGCATGTTTTTTCACTTCCTCCCCCTCTTCAGAGACCCTGATAATGTGGTTTTGTGTATCCTGGCCACGGATGATGAAGATGTGAAAGATGTGGCCCTGCAGATCCACTTTACCCTCATTCAGGCTTTCTGCTGCGAGAATGACATCAGCATCCTGAGAGTCAACAACACCCAGCGCCTGGCAGAAATACTGGGTGGAGGGGCAAGTGGAAAACAGAGTGGGGGTGAACCTATGGACCTACACTGTGTCCTGGTCACAGTAAGCATCTTTTCATTATTAATATACATGTTTTATGTCTACACAAATCTTGTAATGTTGTGATTTTATAGCAGATGTTGAGTGTGCATGTGAGTGAAACTCTTAGAGCAGGAACTTGCCAGTACTTGTTCTTGTGCATTTGATAAACATGTATTTGACTCCTCCCTCTGTGACTTCTTGGGAATACCTTGTTTGCTGCACAGACACAGGGACTTTCTGTATCTTAGTGCAATGTAAACCGTGTATGTACATTCAGATAATTTATTCTCTTTTTATTTATACTTTCAGAGCCCACATTCTTCATCGTGGAAGGACCCTGCTTTGAGCAAAGTTAACCGATTCTGCAGAGAGAGCCGCTGTATGGACCAGTGGGTACCCATCATCAACCTGCCTGAGCGATGAACTTTAGCTGCAAAAACTTTGACTCTTATCTGCACAGGAAAAGTGGTGTGAACCCTGATGGACACATTACCACCAGATCAAATTCCAGAGCTCTGCTGACGGGGGGTGGGAGAAAAATTTGAAGGAGAAAAAAAAAGAGGCCCCACTGTCTACATGGGGTGTATTAAAAAGAGAAAAAAAGAGGAATGGATTTCCACTTTGGATAGGACTGTTTGGAGTTGCATCTGTCAGCCTTGGGAACCAAGATGAGATGGCGAGGCACTTGTATCGTCATGAGGTGGAAATTCCAACAAAAAAGAAGCATGTGTGTGCTTTTTAATGTGAAGCCGGAGACTGTACAGAAGGATTGTATCATGTATGTTTGGTAAAGCTTCTGTGACGAGTCAGAAAAGTGGGGAGAAACCAGAAAATGGAGCTGTTGAGTGGACCAAGGCCTCGGCCTCTCTCTGCAGAAACAAAGCACTTGTTGAAACACTGGACCTTTTTGCAATTTCACTTATTTGATTTAAATTGTTAATGTTGATGTTGCTATTGTCATAATTTAAAAAGGGAAGGGCTACACATCCAGTGAAGACATTCTGTGTATTTAGTGTTTCCTATGCCAGCTGGGGTTTTTTGCCACAAATGTAAAATTATTCATTTGTTACAATTTAAGTTATTTCTAATGATATTTAAGTGTATTTATGTTTCCTTTTTTTTACCATAACTATTTGCAAATTCTGAATACGTATGTATTGCTGTCAATAAAAAATTTTTTTTTGGAGCCAGAGCTGCATGTGGTTTCTCTTTTTCATTTCTGGAAATTTTAGCAAAGCCGAGCTGGATTCTGATCTGTAGCGGTTGTAAAGAGGAGTCACGTGCGGATCACAGGGGTCATGTTGGCCTCTGTGGCCTCAGTGCCATCTCTGAGCTGAAGAGAACAATAATCCTCAGCGCTCTCTCTGCGCAAGCTTCTGCCTCGGTCAGCAGGACCACGTTCATTCATCCAAACAGGCTCCCGTTTCACCGATTCTCAGTGATTTGTTGGACAGTTTAGATTGCATTTTCACCAGGTGACTTCTTGCGGTCATGTGACAGCCTAGAGCATGTGACAACTGCACACAAGCTGCACAGTTAAAGAGGACACAATACCAATATTTTACCAACTGCATTACCTAAAGTTTGTAAGGCGACCTTGAGTGTCATGAAAGGCACCATCAAATAAAATGTTTTATTATTATCATTATTATTAGTAGTATTATTATTATATTATTATTATAAAGTGCTAATAATAGAAGAGTTGTATGTGTGTCACTGAGATAGTGAGGTTACATCAGGTGTTTTCATGCTTCTTGTGTTGTTGGCCGTGTCTGACCTCGGGATTACTGAAGAGCACATGACTTGGAAAATTTTGTGAAGGAGGCACTGGCATGCAATCTGTTGTGCAAGCTGGTCTGAACTCCTCCCTCTTCCAATTGTGTCACACGCAGGCAGACACAGGTGATCTCTCTAGAGTTGAATGTCGGTGATGTCACTGGGTTGATGTAAGGCAGGCAATCCCCTCTGGAAGTGCAGAGTCATGCTCAGGAGAAGAGAGAAGGCAGAGGCCAGTTCATCTTATCACGTGGGAGAGATCATGTGACAATATTTAATATTGCAAAATTCAATGTGTTATAAAAGCTGGCAGACACCAACTTGGGGTTTCTTTACATGACTTGCAGGTAAGATGAACCAGAAATTCAACACTCTGAACAGGATGAGCAAGAATATAAAATGGATGGATGGATGGTCACAGTTACATTCCTGTGGTTTCAGCACTGTATGAAAGATTGCTTGGCAAGTGACTGGGTTTGTGACGCTGACTTGATGTAATGTAATGTGATCCGAGGGGAAAGGTTATTTTAAGATGGGAGCAGTGGATGGCTGATGTCAGTGTTATCACGCCATTTCCAGGGAAGCTGGACCAAATAAGGTTGAGGTTTGCATACCGTCATTAGTGCCTGCTGGCTGTGCTGCATTGTGTGTCAAAGTTCAAGTGAAGCATTATCTACGCATTTTCTAAAATAGAGCAGTCCTTGATGTTCTTATGGTGTAGTTTGAATTTATCAATAACCAACCCTTATAAAGTCTAATTAATGTTAATAAACATCTTATTAATGTTTATGACAGGTATATAAACCATCAACAAGTTTCTAATAAGAGCCTGTAAGTGTCTTATAATCAATAATAAATTAGTTAATTGTACTTTAGTTAACACTTATTTTTGTTTATAAGTATCTTATAAGGTCTTATAAGTGTTTTATTATTTTTTAATTATTGCTTATTAAATGTTAATTAATTAATTAATTAATGCTTATTACAAGCACCTTAAAATAAAGTTTTACCGAATTGTTATATATAGTGCAACCTGGGGAATTTACTGTGCCAAAGAGTAAGAACATACAGAAATCAATGCACCAAACTTGATGTGAAGGAAAAGGAAAATTCCCAGTTAAGATAACGGTATTGCAGAATAAAGGAAAATCCACTATAAAATAGAAGTTATACTGTGCATAACAGTTTTGATGTTCAACAAAAAGAGTATTGACCTGAAAGCAGCCTTTAGACGTCAATCAAAAAATGCCCCAACAGCCAACTAAACTCTAAATATTCACATTTATTACTAAATTCTCTAAACAAAACTGAGCAGGATCTTACTCACCTTTGCAAAAAGCTAATTTATGATGGGCAATGGTGGAGGAAGTATCCAGATCTTTTACTTCACCAACAGTACTAATACTACAATGTAAAAATACTCTGTAAATGTGCAAGTAAAAGTATTAGCTAAATGTAAGTAAAGTATAAAAAGTACTTATTTTTAAATAGGAACCCTTTAAGAGTATTAAACCAAGGGGCATCGAAAACGTTATATTTTATGCTAACGCAAACTTTTAATAAAATGTTTAATTGTAATTAGCACATGGTGACCTCACTTGAATCGCAGCACGGCATTGCACAACTCTAACTTGAATATGTCTAATCAGCACAATCAAAAATATAGCCACATCAGGGCCTTCACATACACTTTAGAATTGCATTGTGTTTTATAAGTTGATCATACCTTTTAAATGTAAAATCAAAGTAACTAGTAGTGCAAAATAAGTGTTGTGAAGTGAAAAGTGCAACATTTGCCTGAAATGTGAAGTAGAAGAAAAGTAGTATAAATGGGAAACACTCAAGTACAGTACAAGTACCTCAAAATTGTACAATACTTAAGTAAATGTACTTTGTTGATAATATAAATTAGATTTGACGCTGGCAATCTATGGGATAGTTGGGTGCAAAGGCAGTTACAGAGTTAAAATGTATTTCTATATCCTGCTGAGCCAACCAGAGGAACAGAGGTGCCACTGCAGCCCACACCCTCCGCTACTCCCTCCCTCCCCTTCCTCTCCCCCACATCAGCACATTCCAACACACTGACACTGTAACGGCCAGGGCAGATTTTCACAGAGAGGCACATGGTCAGTGAGCCGGCCATCCTGCCTCCCTGCCAGCCACTGGCCATATGCCCCCCTGTGATTCTCACATTGCTGCACAATGACAAACTGGGATTACCACAGAGGCGGTGCTCTGGTGGGGGATATGCTTCAGGCCTTCAGGGGCATTCATGCTTACAGAGAATATCCAGGCAGTCTGCCTCATATTTGTGCATAACAGGAATACCTCTGCAGGGTTTTTTTTAGGTAAAAAGTTAGCTAAAAAGCATGTATTATGATTTATTTCACTGCGTGTGCTATCTTTTCCATTCAGTGAAAGTGTTCTATAGTCTGCACAATGCTAATGCACCTGGCTTTTACTGCGGTGACATTTGATCTTTCCAGGGAAACAGCACAATATGTGAGAAAACAAGAGGAAAGCAAACACTATTCATATTTTAGGCTGCCCTTAACAATAAATAATAGGCGACAATGTTATTTCATCATTAGTCAGTTTTATGTGTGAGAGCTGTCATATCCAGTTCAGTATTTTTGCGATTGTTTCAGTAGGTAACCCCAATTATTATTCCTGCACAATCTTCCCATTGTGTGTAGGGAAAATTAAACCAGCTGTTTATACACCAGTTGGACAGAAACAAGGTCAGAGAGACCCAAGTGGCTACCAATGGAGAATAAAAACAGACTCTCAGGCTAGGGAGACGGTTTCCCAAAATAGTTGCTCTACTCTTCAAGAGCGGAAATCAGGGTTTGGTAATTTCTCTAGTTAGCCCTCTTGTGTTCTCTGGTTTCTGACAGCCATGGTGTCCCCGGGTCTTTCATATCCCGAGTGAGATATTAACAATCCATAAATGAGAGGAAACGGCCCCAGATACACTGTGGGCACATCCATCTGGCCAGGTTCCAATTGAATAAAAGACCAAAACAACAACTTTACATCTGAGGTTGAGTAAAAGGTGGTATCAAGACAGCAGTGGTTCTTCCAACTGTGCATCACAACACATCTTTATTGAGATATTAGTACAGTATTGTACTGTAGGAATGCTTCACTTTATTAATCTTAGTTAAGTCTTCATACAAAGGTTGGTATATTAATAAGGACATTTATCAAAAAGCAGATTTTGACAGTTAAATTACTCTATCAATGGTACAATAAGGCAGTTACGGAGTTGCTGAGTGGACAGAAATCATGACATGGCAGTGGTAATCTGAACTTTTCCTAAAGAGGCATAAAGGAATGATTTATTGCAAGTAAAAAGAACTGACTGTTGGAGACAATCATAAAAAATACAATTGGATAATAACACCAGATCTTGCTGATTTGAAGACCTGAAAATACCCTTTGGAGAAGGCAACAATACTAAAAACTGCTGAAAAGTGGAGCACCAAGTGAAACACAATTGAACATGGTTGACATGTTCTGCTTGTGACATAAAACAGATGGCACAATATTGTTACAAATCACTTTCATCCCACAGATAAAAAGAAGAAAGCACTCCCATTAATGTTGTTCATGATACAAGGCAAACATAAGTAAGGCTTAAGTGTAAGCAATTTTTAATTTATGCGATCTATCCTGTTTTAAATTTACCATAGAAGATATGTTCCCCCAGAAACTCATAACATGAAGGACAAGTTAGACTTAAGATTGAAGACCCCCACCGACACAAATGTTAGAGCATAAACTGAAAAAAAAAAACAACACAAATTTGACAGCAGTCTTGGGAGAGTGGTTTTTATCATCAATGCACACTACCATTTGCACCTGTACCTACAACACTTGTGCCAAAAACACTTTTAAGACAACGAACGCTGCCGCTCGACTAAGACACTTGTTGTGATGAGCAAGAAGCTGTGGCTCACAGTGTTACGACACTCGCTGACATGCTTTGTGTCATCAGCGTCCTAAAAATACCGTACCACAGAAAATATTCAGAAGGAATGTCTGAAAATATCTTCACTCCAACGCATATTTAGATGTTTTGAAATGCTGTATCATTGGTTTGGCTTGGTCCCATGTTCTCCATCACACAGTGTTACACTTTGAGTAAAAAAATATCTAATTACTACACTGCATTAATGTAATAAAGCATTTTAATTTTCTACCATGTAATGTACATGTACTGCTCACAAATTTACAAAAAGCATCACAGCATTGGGGTCAAATGATCTTCCAAACATGATCCTGGATGTTAATATGAAACTTATCGCAACATGATAGTTCATTAAATCAGCTAAAGACAACACTGTCTTATGGTAATCATACAGCCAATACCAGAAAACTATGGATTCAAATGGCATGTGGATTGGCATG